TGATGCTATGGTCTTAACACGATAGCGCTGTGTGGGAATGCTTTCGAAATTAACATTCCGTGCATTCCGTTGCTTTTTCGCTTGCATCTGCCATTGAAAACGGCGTCTGCGATTCCTTCTAGATCATCGTCTGGCTGTGATTTTCTATTAATAACTTCTGAATGAAGAAGAAAAAATTCTGGATGTAATTTCTCCAAATCTCTTTGTTTCTTTCGTTTTTTGCTTCATTGTTCTACGGATATACTCCATTTGTTTAGTCTTGTGTTTTGAATTTTTTTTTCAATTATCTAGGTTATATTGTATGTAGAAGTACTTAATTATTTTCTCGGAAATCCATTTCAAAATATTGCGGTTAAGAAACCGTGAGCGTAGGAACTTTTGTGGGCGTCAATGTGTTCAGGGGGTGGATGGGGGGGGGGGGCATTTGTGCGGACTGAGCCTAAAAGGGAAGTATTATTTCGAGGCTGTAGGACTCTCAAGAATAGGCTCAGACAACGTATTGGAATAGTTTTAAGCGCAGCTCTTACCTTGTTGCTCAATATTCCCAAGCTTCTCATACGGTGTGGAGACGGTGAAGTGACAGCTGCGCAGCTTTACGCGTACGGTCTAAGGTTCAGATCCCCGAATGCCGCACCGACTACCTAGGCCTTCCAAATCAGGCACATTGGATTGTCTTTGTCACTTCATAGACCAACCTACCTCCAAAAGGCTCTACGGCTATGCAAAAGGCAGTGTCGGAAAAGGTTACCCCATGCATTTGTTTTATTTTGTTGGTTTGAAACCATGGAAACCTTGAAAGTCTACAGAACATTACCCGTAAAAGACGTAGGCAATCCCCGGTACAATACTTTCATATATATAGGTGTAATTCAGGGTAGGAAGAGGAGAACGTCGTGGAAAACGTCTAATTTCCTGAAACAGCGGCGAAGTTCCCAGACTACGTCAATTTGAAAGTCATCAGAAATGTTCGATTTCACCCTATTCGAACCACATGGATTAGCATAGAAGCCAACTGTTTGGCTACTGCACTGTTGTAGCTGTGTAGGTGCAAAAAACGCTCCAGTGAGAGTCTGGCTATTCATGACCCTTTGCCTAAAATGCACTACAAAGAGTAAACCACTGAGCGATATTATCTATTGCAACTTGCATTGTTCTCAAAATAGACTCACATCGATTCTCTAAAGAGTATTAATTTTAGTATTACTTACATCCGCTACTGGGGCCGGTGTCAACATTGCTCTCTTGGCCGTTGAGTATTGATGGAATAAACACAAGGTCTCCAGGAAGCATGTGTTATGCTGGGTCCGCCTGTGATTGGACATTCCTTTGCGATCGCCAATCGCATCATGCAGCGGGCCAAAATCCACTTTTTTTTGGAGATGGTTTTCAGGCTATATCCACTCTCTGCGTTTGTCAAAATTCTTGCCGTGTTCATGAGAGTCCTTCGACATGCTTGGCCCGGACAGTTCTGGTATAATGAAGGGAGTATTTTGGAGTTTTCTTCAGTCTGTTGGTCAAGCCTGTTGCTACTTCATTTGTCCTCGTACATTGTTGACATCGTCACTACTGAAGTCAAAAAAATAATATATATTATATATTATACTAAATCTCTTATGGCCTAAAGTTGTTAGTTACATTAGAAGCCAATGTTGGAGCACGCAGACAGCATAGAAGCAGCAGTAGGGAATCTCTCAAGCTCATTCACCCGTTACCCTCGCTCGCTGCTACTTTTGGCATCATTGGTGAGAACTTCTTCTTAAGTACACTTTTCTAGAGTGCAATTTTGATTATTTTCATAATTACGGAAAGTTATCACGAACTAGAAGTGCATCAAGTTGTCTTCTTTATCTGCTGTATTACCTTAGGGCCATAATTATATAATAACTGTTCTGTACTTGTTATGAGTTATAGAGGAAAGCCTACATGTTATGTCAAAGTGACGCGTTCAATTCGTTGTAAAGTATTATTTTCACTTTGCCTTGTGCCACAGTTTTTTTACTTGTCTTACTTGTCATCATAGTTATTTACTGTTTTTTTTATTTTATTTCTTTTTATTTGCAGCGCATAAAAGAGTGAGTGTAGTGGCGACTGTTTTATGCGCCTCTTATGTTTGTTACGTGTAGTGTAATGTTTTGAGATAAGGTAAACAGCTTCATTCAAATCGATGCCTGCGCACATATGCGTGGCTGGACAGGCGTCAAAAAAAGATATATATCTATATATTATACTAAATCTCTTATTGGGCCTAAAGTTGTTAGTTACATTAGACGCCAATGTTGGAGCACGCAGACAGCATAGAAGCAGCAGTAGGGAATCTCTCAAGCTCATTCACCCGTTACCCTCCGCTCGCTGCTACTTTGGCATCATTGGTGAGACTTCTTCTTAAGTACACTTTTCTAGAGTGCAATTTTGATTATTTTCATAATTACGGAAAATTATCACGAAACTAGAAGTGCATCAAGTTGTCTTCTTTATCTGCTGTATTACCTTAGGGCCATAATTATATAATAACTGTTCTGTACTTGTTATGAGTTATAGAGGAAAGCCTACATGTTATGTCAAAGTGACGCGTTCAATTCGTTGTAAAGTATTATTTTCACTTTGCCTTGTGCCACAGTTTTTTTACTTGTCTTACTTGTCATCATAGTTATTTACTGTTTTTTTTATTTTATTTCTTTTTATTTGCAGCGCATGAAAAGTGAGTGTAGTGGCGACTGTTTTATGCGCCTCTTATGTTTGTTACGTGTAGTGTAATGTTTTGAGATAAGGTAAACAGCTTCATTGCAAATCGATGGACTGCCACATATGCGTGGCTGGACAAGGCTTGTATGAAGTCTGGTCGCATTTTTCATTCGCATGTTAGCTTGATGTAAGGCTTTTTCTTTCTCTTCCAATATTTACATTTTTCATATTTTTTCCTAGTCTTTCCGAAGTGCTGCCTGATTCACATGACGACACTTCTACGTCGATGTCTTCTTAGAAAGATTGATCAGTGGTTAGAGACGCCACTGCATCCATTGGCGTTAGGATGAATTCCGTACCTGTGAACATCTTCAGAAAGAGTTCCCCAACCCAAATTCTGGCTCCATTGCTAAACTTATTCATTTATTTTTTTATTGTGTCCGCACAGGTGCGCTATAATGTCAAATGTAACAATAACAGATTTCGAATCAAAACAACAAAGCGCTATGAATTACATCAAAGTAAGTCAGGTAAGCAACAAGTTCCCCAGACTGAAAAAGGTCAAAAATCCTGACCCAGTAACCTGCATAAGTCTTACCTTTTTTCAATTTTCTTCTGAAATCAAAATGACTCACTTCTTAAGTGAGGAAAAGTTGTGACCTAATCGGCATCGAGATTTTCTTATCTCACTTCGCCACCTTATTCACTTACATTATCACGTTTTGTTCGGTTTTGTTAATTTTGGTGCTCTGTATCAAATGCCAAGTTGGTGCTTTGTCGGGTTCCATGTCATACTTTACTTCACGTGGCCATGAAACATGCAATAAATAAATATAATAATAAGTCACATTCGGCCACGGCAGTGGCTAATCAAATGCGGTTGGAATCGGAAACATGGCGCCTTCCAAAAGCCCTGATCGAAGCTGAGCAGCGTTTACATTTTACTGTATAAGTCAGGTGTAGTGTTCGAAATGTGATTGGGATGGTAAATCGGTGATGTAATCGTTGTCGGAGGAGTAGTGCTTAGAGCGATGAGGTGCAACTCATCGTGCGAGCTCCTTCGCTCCCAACTTTTCATCTTCCAATATTTACCTGTGAGGGACTGCTAGAATCGTCCGCTATGTACCGATTTGTGTGGCTGTTTCCGTACTCATGCATAATTTAGTTACTTTCTTTTTTGTTGGGAAAAATGATCACTTTGTTTTAAGTACTCACCAACTAGTCACTAGGTCTAATTCCCTAACTTGGACTGCAAAATCAATAGTACATAGTCAGCCAACGTCACGAACAAGTCAATGAAAAACACTGTAATCAAGTGAGTTATCCTTCAATGTAGTTGGCAGTGCAGCTTTAGCACTATGTTAAGTAATCGTGTTTAAAATTAGGTATTTCAGGAATTTTTAAAAATTCAAAAAAAAAACATTTTGTGCTATACACTGTTCCTCTCGGTGTCTTGTCAGTGTCTGCAGTGTCCATGATTCGAATCGTGAAGATTTCATCTTCATTCTTTCAAAAGCTTTTCCTAAACGAAATAGATGCGAATGCGTGGCGCGCACCACACGAATCAATCAGGGCGGCGTATGCGCCACTTTCCCCATGGTCTCCCGCGAAGGGTGGACGGCTAAAAATTTCGCTGATAGACGGATTCTGCATTTCTCTTGTTTGTTGGAAGGCCAGCGTTACAAAATGCAAGTGAATACACGACTGATGTTTTGTTGGGAGGTTACTACAGGCTCAAGTAATCAAATAAGTTCGCAAATTGAAACTTCACCGCTCACGGAATCACGTGCGCCCAAGTGGAATCGTTCTCAGCGTTTATAGGCGTTTACGCCCATTCTCGTCCCCCAACGTTCTGTTTTTTAGTGCATTTCGAGAAGGAGCGGTATTATTAGTTGGATCACTGGGCGATGTTTCGGCAGCCTACATGTGAAGGGCTTCTAATTCGCCTCTCCTCACAGTCCTACCTCTTCTGTAGACTATCGTTTACCCTGTGCCATTGAAGGCATACATGAACAGGCTTGCACAGGAATTGTGCTGCTTCAGATGTCGTCAGTCTTTGTTTGTACTTGATTTATGGCGCCCTTCCATGTCTCCATCACCGTGGCGCCGACTTCTGTGCTATTTGTCGAGGGACATGGCGACGCCCCGACGGTGTCGACGAGTCATGCCGGTGTGTTCGCCGACCTTTGGCTCGTGCGGGCAACCGAGGAAGGCTGACGTGGCAAACATCGGCGTAAACAACGAGAATGGGAGTGATGTATGAGCATGAGCGGAGAGCATGACGATGCTTGTAGCCACCAACGTTGCACTCTTCGTCCATGCCACTCACTCCGCTGTCGTTCTTGCCAGATGAGCCTGTTGCTGGTGCAGCTGAAAGAGAGAAGCAGAATGCGATACAGAAGGGCAAAAGCGAGGCCGAGGAGCTGCCGCCAGTGTGAGGGTGGCAATGTGTATGACACCGGAGCACCGTTGTCTTGTTTGCTATGCGCTTTTATATCATGTGCGTAGTTCGGGCGGTGACGCCGTGATAAGGCGGAGACTTGCTTGAAAGCCAACGGTGCCGTCGTCTGGTGCCTTATTCCTCCACTGTCGTCATCGTCATCCGGTCATCTAGGCTTGTTGCACAACAGAAGTCATAGCGAATGTTTCTCACATGTATATGTCCGTCACGAGTACGAGGTATGCGCTTCAACGCCTTCGAATAGATCACGAAAGACGGCTCGCTTAAAGGGCTCATTTTCATTTCTCCTGCTCCTCTGCCACCCCCTCACGATCATCGCCCTCATCGTTCTAGCACGGGCGATAAACATGTTTTTCTATTATTCGCTATTGCGCCCATTTACTCTCGCGCTCACGGCTTTCATCCATGATTTCGCTGCTACAACCTTCTTGTGTTTGGTAATATGGATCGCTCTCTGAAATTTTTCGCCGAATAAGGTCTCTGTTACTCGAAAGATTCAGTATTTTTGAGTCACAGATGTGTGTTGCAGAACGTCTGACAGTGTGCGGGGACATGTCTGAGGACGCTCATCTTCAACACTGTGAGGATATCCCTCAAACTTCCAGGGAAACTGACCCGGTAAGCATAATTTTACACTGGTTTGCAAAAATTATGGATGAGGATGAAATAACATAACTTATGATAGTTTTGTGAACCGTTTAACGGTTCTTGTCAGTCACTTTCTGTACTGCACTGTAACAGCTCTTTCTATGTGTGGTTGGGTTCCATAGAGTCAGTTACGCGCCAGTAACCGTCATGGAATCTACGTTTGTCATTAGTTTTGCACATTAGTGTATTTACCCATGCCTTATTACTACAGAAGGTTTTCCATCCTTTTTCTCTGTCAGGGTAGGGGAATGATTTCAATGGCATTTTCCAGAGAATTTTTTGGCGTTTTGGGAACGTTACTTCTAAAGTTGTGTTCTTTGATGCTTACTTTTATATTAGATGAGGCTGTCTTCAGGAGAGTATGGTTTTTCAAGCCATGTAATTTCGGTGCGGTGTTCCGTTGGCCTCAGTGTCTCGTCCCATTGCAACTTCTCGTCACCCAATATTGTTGCCTTCTTAGTTCAAATTCCCGTATCTGATATCTGTCATTCCAAGGAATTCAGTAATGACGTAGCTCGCAGCGGAACAGGAAAACTTCCACAAATTTGGCCAAAACAGGAGCCTAATTTGGTAAAAAAAAAACTGGCTACTCTTAAGTTATTATGCTTTAATTGCAGCTGTCATCGTTCTCATGCACATTGCTAGAACTGGATGAGAACAAGGGGCTGATACCGCGATTGCGAAAGCTTGGTGTGAAGCTGCCGAAGATGCGAAAGAAAGCGTCTGATTTTGTATTTTTACGAATTCTTGGAGAAGGAGCATATAGTACGGTAGGAATTTACTCGTTATATTGCGAGTATCAAATCGGCAACATCACGGGCAGTTTCATTTCAGGTATATCTCGCACGCGAGCTCCGCGGTGGACAAACACTAGCCGTTAAAGTTTGTTCAAATATTTTGAATTTGTTGTCGATTTTCCTATTAGGGCAGGCTTTCTTCAGGTGGTTCAAAAGGATTTTGTCATTCGACACCAGAAACTGGACGCAACCATTCGAGAAAAGCACGTGTTGGCTTCGCTCAGCTATGAACGCGGTGGACATCCGTTTGTAACTCGACTTTACTGCACATTTCATGATCCGGAAAGATTATGTAGGTTTCATTCTACCATTAGTTCTATTACCGCTCCGTATTGCTTCAAGGTGAAACACCTAAAATGCTCCTTTTCATTCTTCTAGGGTTTTTTGTATGCCTTCTCGTTAGTGCTACATGTCTCAACGTGTATTTTTCCTTTTATAAGTTTTTTTTCCAGCTCTGCTTCTCTGGTTTCTGACGGGGACGGCAGCGCTCACGCGGGCTTTCCATTCAATTATTCACTCTTGTTTACGCCTTGATGAAAAGCACAGAGAACGATCATGCGCTAAAGATTGGCTTTTGTTGTTTTTCGTCGTCAGCAAACTTCCATGCAAGGCAGTGGAGAGTCCATACTGAACTATATCCAGATCATCACCGTCTGAAACTCGGGTGCAGAGAAATTCAGAGGAAATAATGTGTTTCTCGAATTTTCATTACCAATTATTTATAGGGGATCAAAGAGCATCTTTTTGGTCGATACAATATATTATGCTAAAAGTCATGTTTTGAAGTGTTCAGGGCTTTTGGATCAAATATGCTGTAATTAATGCATCATAAAGGAGTAATGAACAAAATAGTACCTAATGTAACACAAAATTAAATGCTAAAAGCTAAACGAAATGGGAAATGCGGGCTCTCTCCCACAATGGTTTGTTAACCTAACCTTAACAAAGGTTTATCTTGCACTTCCACATTATTCAGACGAAAGTAGTGTAATGGAAGGTGGCGTTGCTCATGGTGCAGGTGTAGAATTCCGAATCGAAATGCGTGGCATATCCCACCAAGGGATTTATCAACCTCGGATGTCATCCTTTGATACTTTCATCCTGATGATTTTTGTCGTCTCGAGCATTAGGGTGAATGGGAGCTGATGGTGATAGAGACCCACCACATCCTGGTCAAATTAGCGAAAGCCGGTGTGGCCCAGTAGTGAGTTTCAGCAGCTGGGCTTTCTACTCAACCAGTGACGAAGAATTTCTGCATCCAGTTGCTCAACAAGCAGAGCATCGCTGTGGGGCACTTTTGAGCTTACTCTCTAGGCTAGTGTTTACGTTAGTGCTTTTGCCTATTTGGGTTTTGCTTCCGTCGAGGTTCTTTCACTGTGTGCGTTTAATTTTTTGAAAATGTGTTGCCCTACAATCATATTTTTGGAATTTTTCGGAAATGTTCGACTGAATTCCGGTATGGAATCGCCTAGACCTTTTTCCTTTCCAGAGTTTTCCTTGAGGTAGTGGAGCAGATTTTTCTAGGGAATCTGACGTTGTAGCTGGATTTTCGGTAGAGTATTTCTGGTATCTCCGTGGGAAAGAGCATGCCAGCAAATCCGTTGATCCTGCAATACGATTGTTTCTACGCTAAGTGACCGGGCAAAGTTCTTCGGGAAAATTTAGGTGAAGATTGTGCAGATTTCTGAGGAGCTTCGCTTGATTCTAATTTGGAATTAGGCCGTAGGTCTCTTAACAAGACTTGTCATTGGCGCACAAATCGGGAACTCCTTCAGACGCTGCCGCGACATTCTGAGGTACTTCCTTTCTGTCCAAAAAGATTCGAATCCTTTTTTGAACCCTGTCAGCTGTTAATGTGGGCAGAATGTAAAGAAAGGTGTGCGTTGTTTGCGGAAAGTGGCACAGAACCGTTGGTCTGGCTCGGGGCTTGGGACCAGAGCCAACTTACGCGTTGAGTAAACTTGGCTAGACGACACTTCTTCGTAGGACACATACCTCCTCGAGTTATGGTCCCTCAATCACCCCATCCCCAGGTCCCTCGCGGTCCTAACTGACACTTCTGCATGGTCTTCCTCTTATTATGATTAAATGCCCGTCGGACGTAGTGGAGCGAACAAATAGTACGCTAAAAAATTGAAAATTACCACCGGTCGCCAGTTTCACTTAATATGCCCCTCTCCACTCCTTTTGGGAGGGTCGATGACCGCTTTAGGAAGACTCGACGTTGTGGCACCTTTCTTCTTCCCTCTGAATTCTTCTGATTCTGATTTTGACAGGGCTTCTCTCTTCCATTCCTGCAGAGCTGAAAGGCTATTTGTCGACGTCCGCGACGTAACCGCGGACGCTAGCGAATCGCTGGATTTGCAAAGTCTGACATCGGTATTCACGGGTCATCGTTTGCTGCAGTGCTTTTGAAAGTGGATCTCATCCCATTGAATACCCTTCCCTGTCGTGTAACGCTCTGTGCAAAATACTACGTGTAGTGTACTTTTATGAAGCAACGCACGCCATTTTTCTAGCTTGCTATATCAAATTACTGTCACGACGGGTTTATCACAAATATTTACTAGTTGCGACTACACAAGTTCGCTTATCACTCTTCTTTGTTGCCATCATCTGTTTTTAGTGCATTCGGATTTAGCTGTAATGCCGTTTCTTATGGACCGAGGTGGAGATATATTTCCGTTGTGAATATTTTCTGAAATTTTTAGCATAAGTAGATTCAGATTTCCTTAAGGCTTAAAATTCATGGCCCCTGACGTAAACAGCACATTGTGTGAACTTTAGGAGGGATGACTTTGAATGAACGAGGAGTAGCTAGCAAGAAACGAGAACTTTGCTCTCGTTTTCCGATTTCTGATTACTAGTCAAAGAGGAGACGATCAGGGCACGCTTGTTTGTGCTTTAATTTGTTCACTGAATTAGTTTTTGAATTTGAAAGGTTCCGATGTTTGAATGGATTATAGTTTTCATATTTACTAGATTCTACCCTGGATGGAACTAGTTCATAAGTAAATGTAAGGTTATTTCGAAACTCACGTTTCTAGCAAAGAAAAGTGTTGAAATAGCACGGCTAATGACACGGTCATGCATTGATGTCTGGCTTTTTCATTTTACAGTATCACACTTTTGGTTTTTACGTGAAAAATTAGAAGATGACGACAACTACTCTCATGACGAGAAAGTACTCAATGAAAGCCCATGGTCCTCATCATGGACGCCTTAGGGTTTCAGCTCTACAGTGCAAATGGCATAACTGAAATAGACCATCATGAACTTGAAGTTGTATAAGGTTACTTGGGTCCATTAACACCTTGGAGCCCACGCAGCCCATATGTGGGCTGCAGCCCCGGACCGCATAGGACCTTTCAGCTCGCATTTCGTAAACAATTATTAGGTTTCTCATTTATCCGATAAGATTTCTTCTGCATTATACAGTGGGTCTTCTCTTGAATTTGCTAGATAAGATCCCTAAAAATTTTACCGAAGTCCCGCGCGGCCGCGGAACGTAAAACACGCGTGGTCTCCAAAGTGTTAATATTACAGTGAGGAAGATGGTATAGAAGCAAATAGCGCGTTGACCCTGCTAATGGTTAGATGTTTGCATGCAATCCATAACAGGACAACCGGGCTTTCATCCCATCCAGGGTTCCCTACTGAAAGCTTGCGGTCCACTGGTTTGCACTTGGGACCATCACTCTTTATTGTTAGGCTAAGTCCTCATTGGAGTACCTCTGCGATTAACTTGTAAGTATCATAGAATACGTGCGCATCCCAGAAAGTTCTTGATCATCGCCACTGCAATATCTCCCTCGAACCCGGTCCACATGGCTTCTTCCTTTCACTGGCCACGGTACCAGATATGCCACCAATTTAAAGGCAAAAGTCGGGCTCAAGGGGGTATTGTGACGATTGAAACCGAGTATAGAGATGCGAAGTGGAACGACAGTGGATAAAAATTGAGAAAAACCGTCGACAAGGCCGTTAACAAAACCCTCTCTCCCACTAGCAGTGAAGGAGGCTGGCTTGGGGAAAGAGGCACGTACGAACAAGTTTTCTGGAGATGTCAGTCGTTCTATGGGTTGATACGGCAATCAGCCTAGCTGATTTCACACGCGGTCCTGGATTGACGAGGCGGCCCCGGATTGAAACCGAACGCCCCGGGGCCTTAACGGGGTTTTTTCAAGGTTGGAAATTGCTGCAATGTGTGCAGCTCCCCACATACAACCTTCAGGCACGGGAATTACCTCTCTAAAGTGCCTGAGCCCGACCTTGCCTTTACCAATACGTGAACCATGTGTGGGATCCTGGAGGGTAATCCGTTCGCTTTCCTGGGTTTCAAATGTACAAGTGTTGACCATTTCTTTCTTTTTTGTGACAAATTTTCATGCATGGCCTTGGAGCGTAGGCTACTTCATGGTCGATATCATTTTTCATGGTTGCTGACGTCACAGTTTTGCTGTTTGTCGTTCCTTTCCAAGTTCTACTTTGTCGTGCTCATTTCGGTTACTCATCATTACATTTTTCGCTCACTTCCGGTTAACGTTCTCGTTGCTCGGTTATCGTTCATCGAATTCCCACTTTAACTGTTCTCCTTTTTCGCAAAATCCTTCTTTTAAACTGGAAATAGTACTCCGTTGCAACTATCGTCGGTAGTTTTTACTAAAGTGGAATTCTCAGTGTAAACGCCGGATATGAGTGTTCTGAGGAATTAATCTTTTTTTACACACATTTTTCATTCAACGATATCTTGACGCCAGAGCATCGGGAAAGGGGTCGCCATAATTTACAGTCTCCTTCGGGATGGCACACTGATTGTTTCCGAGTGTGTTGTCGGGCAGATTGAAAAAAAAATGTATTGGAACGCTTTCGTCTGAATGCAGTGAGAGGCGAAGAGAAGGGCAGGACAGAGAGAACGAATCTTAACGAAGGGAACCCTAGGCTTGCAATAGACAGTGGTACTCTTCGAATACTTAGTCGAATTAAAAATTCCTTCACAACTTCTATATTCGAGTCCCATCTTCGATCTCTCCAGATTTTCAAGTCTTCTATCTCTTCGGGGTTGGTGAAATGGTACCAGTATTGTCTTGAAGGGGTAAAATATCGAAATGCGTATTGGCAGGGCCGTGCGTATCACTCAAACCATATCTCGTTTATATTAAACCAGTCTTTATTCTGAACAGAAGTGAAAAGCGTGGCGCATTCCGCAGTTATTCAGCGCTGAAACCTTTTCCGCTTATACTTTCTTCTCAATGGCTATCAGCTAAGAGTCCTTGTTATTTCCCTGAAGATTTTGCATAGCATAGCACTGACATATGACTCTTGAACCTGTTGTGAGGCCATGTAACTCCATTTCTTCCCTTCTTACTTCTCCATCTTGTTGAAGAAGTTCTTTCTTTCTGGTCATCTCAAGTCCTGATGCTTTTGTAATCCACCATGTCCCACTCTCCTGGCCTTCGGTTTGCCCTTTTGC